TTCCATAAGAAACACTTTACAGTTCTAGAACTTCTCCAGAAAAGTACGGGTACAGCTCTTCTCAGTAATACAAGGTACAATGTGTAGTTACACTTCAAAATACTAAGAGCGTTAAACACAATGCAATGCATAGCTCATCTAAAGAGCGAAGCTTACTCTCTATACTACATACTCAACGCTGAACTAAACAGTAACTATTGCGACACTGAATGCTGCCTGCGGTCTTATATAGTTTTCCTCCGGCAGCTGAGAAAGCTTTATAAGGGCCGGTTGCAGTTACAGTTACCTATAGAGATCAATTACAGTTATTCAGTTGCAATACCAATAATAGTTATTAAGGGAGTGGACCTATTTTTTCCTTTCTTTCTGCATGCCTTCGTGGTGTAAGGGTAGTACACACGGCGCGTATTCGAGACGTCCAAGTTGAGTTCCGACGAGAGCATTGCTTATTTTTCATATATTCCTGTTTCAAAAAATCCTAATGACTCTACAGTGGAGTCAGAATTATAAGGTGGTAGAGATGATTCTTTACCACCGGGATTTGGTTTGCGATTGGATATTTCTCTCTCCTTCATGCATGCTTTCGTGGTGTAATGGTAGCACACTAGGCGCGTATTCGCGATTTTTGGCTACTTCTCGCCAAGCCTGGCGACAAAAAATTAGTTTTTGGCAGAGCTTCGTCTGTTTCAACCATATCATTCAAAAAAAAAAAAAAAAAAAAAAAAAAAAAAAAAAAAAAAAAAAAACCACTATCACTTGTTTTTACTAAAATTATTTACATATATGCAAAATTCGTAACAACATGATCACACCGAATAGCAATGCAGACGTGACAAATTTTTATATTCACGAAAGATCCCTTGAAACAAGATTAGCTTGTCGAGGAATCCTTACATAAAGTCAGGGATGTAAAATTTAATTCACATATAATCTAAAATATATTTATATAACATTAGTTTATTTATCACTTTTCCTTATAGAACCCTATAGTGATTTAAATTTAATTTTCATATAATCTAAAATATATTTACTTAAGATTAGTTTATTCATCACTTCTCCTTACCGAAAACCATAATGATTTAAATTTAATACAGATATAATCTAAACTATATTTACATAAGATTAGTTTATTCATCACTTCTCCTTAAGAAACCCCATAATGATTTAAATTTAATTCACATATAATCTAAAATATATTTATATAAGATTAGTTTATTCATCACTTCTCCTTACGGAAACCCCATGATGATTTCTCGTGGTACTCCCTGTTCACAGTTATGGATTTCGCTACACCAACATTTTTGAATTTTTCGCTACACCAACATTTCCGAATATTTTATGCTTTCATTGAACCTTTGAAGAAATATTCATATGTCAAAGAACTACTAAATTAAATTAGAAATATAATTATTTATTTATTATCAGGTTAAGCCATTTGCGTAAGTATGAGCTATAGAGCTATATGCTTAAAATTAGAAATACGAAACTCAATTAATACATTGACTTACGACTTAAAAATTACATTTATAAATAATTAATTTAGTGGCTAGAGGGCTACGGCCAAAGCAATATTTATAAGTTCAATGTACTGAAAATAAAATGAACTATTAATTTAATGTACTGTATACAAAGTTGCTAGCTGTAACCAAAGCCAAACTTGAGTTCTATGAGTTAAAATTCCATAATCGGGGTGAGCGCCAAGCTTGGCGAGAGTTTTTTATTTGGCGCGATTTTAATTTGGATGTGGTTTCCGGCTGTATGTTTTCTTGTGGCAAACCTAGAGCTTTATTTCGGTAACATTCGGTAAGAGCGCGAATTTAGTGTAGCCAGACTTTTTTTTAAATTTAATTTGAAATACTGTGTTTGTTTTTCAAAGTGATGTTTATATAGTTATTATGTCAATTTTTTTAAATTGAGAATTAGCTGTTTTCAATTGAAAACAATTAATAAATTTCATTAATTTTATTAGTTATTTTTTTTTTTTTTTTTTTTACGAGAAAATTTAAGTTTGAAAAACCGGGGTAAACTAAATTTCAACTTGGCAGGAAATTTTGATTGGTTGGCTTTGGTGACGTCATTTTGACGTATTTAAACTCCGCCTCTCATGTGGTTTACAATCAAAACACATCATGCGCCATGTTTGGTCATGACCAAAGATGGGTTCTTCTCTTGCTTTACCAAGATATCCGTATAGCCAGGGCTTAAATTGCGTCGGAGCCCACCGGAGGCTGGCTCCGATACTTCTTAGTTTTAGGAAAAATTCATAATTTTTTTAGCCGGAGCCCTAAATAAGAAGGCTTTAGCACTTCTTTTATGTAACTGAACAATAATTTCAGTAGAAATCTGGTCTTGGAAACTTTATTTTTAATAATAAAATTATATTAAAAATTGCTTATTAAATTCTAATTTATCACTTTGCATACTATTAAATTTTAATTATTTAATTACTTTAACCATTAATTTTTTTAATAATGAATTATTTAATTTTTTAATTGTTAATGATTTGATTAGTCATCTTATTCTCTTATTTATTCTTGTTCCTCTTTCCTGAAGGTCTTCTATAGGGCTCTGGTACTTCTAATTTTTGAAATTAAACCCTGCGTATAGCTGACCGTTTTGTTTTTCTAATATGCTTCCTTAGGGATTATGACAGCCATATACTGGTAAAAGGCCTTAGACCATTTACCAAAGCAAAGATCCGAAATGGTTTATATGGTAAATAAGAGAGTTCGTAAGGAAGGTTATATTGTAAGAAGTTCGTTTGGTATGAAAACTTCAGTTTTCATAAAGCAAATGGATTAAATGCAGATATTTTTTCCCCATGAGAGAAAAGTCCTAAAACTGCTTCAACTGTTTTATTTTGTAAATGAAGATAAAATAGCGCCTGATATGTGTATGTACTAAAGAGGACTTTAATTATTTAGTGAAATAAATAAGGACAAAATACAAAATTTGATATTGTAGTTTAAAAATATGTTTTTATTTGATTAAAACACTCGAGAGCTAACTGCCTACAAGGAAGGATGGCTTCCTGGAGAACTTTCTAAGGGAAACTGGCTCATATACACATTACACATGAGGAAAAACACGAAAACGCCTATGCAACTACCCCAAATCATGTTTAGAATAAAAATTAATTTGTTATTTATTATCATTTGCGATTATTAGTGGTAAATATGTATTGAAATCCATTTAGAGCAAGATCTGCAAAGAAATGAATGCGGAAGAATCTAAATTCTCAGAAGAGATATGCAATTATCTGATTATAATCAGTAGAATTTGCTTTGAGTTAATCCATATTATGTAACGTTATCAAGTGGCTAAAAGTATAAAACACTGGTAATTAATTCTCCTTTCCTTGATTTGTAGTAGTTGAATGAAATGATCATAAGATAATTTCATGACAAAGAAGCACTTAAAAGTCTATCATGCCTGAAATCTGCTTGAATGTTGAGTCATAAGGGTACAAGATCTCAAAATATATGTTAGAATGTGTCTGCGGTCAAAAAAAAGGGTTGGAGTAACTCCTATACATTTTGTGTTCATTAAATAATCTTGTACAAATGATTAGGTAAAGTTTTTTAAGTCTTTTGCCATTAGTTGATCCATTAGCATGCTAATATAGTCTAACTTCATGCTTATTTTTACCCTATGTATCAATGATTTCTTATTATATACAGATAATATTAAGTTTTGGTCATTATTCATACTGTCAATAAATCAATATGAAGAATACATTTGTGATTTAAATTGAAAACGATTAGTTCAGTGTTTACAGATTCATGTGATGTAATGAAAGTTTATAATAAAATTAAGAATATTCTATGGTTTATTTTCTTAACCCGCGAGCACACGCAATGGGTATGTCATACCCATGGGCATTTTTCTTTTTGTATATTTATCACTTATTCTTTCATAAAAGGACGAAACTTGGTGTAGCTGAGTTCAAGGCCACATACTTAAATGCGGGAAATTCCTAAGGTGACAGGTGCAACGGTTTTTTAGGAACAGCATTGTTTGGGCATCTCATACCCGCGCGTGTACTCATGTTTCTCAGTGAGTCACTTCGCACTTCTCGTTTTCAAGCTTTTTTTTTTTTTTTTTTCAAGTATAGGTTTTTCTTGAGTTGTAAGCATGGCGCCGTATATTCCTTACGATGAAGAGATGAAAAGATTGAGAAATATTCTTAAAACAGTTTCTTCTGATGAGGATTCATTTAGTGAAGACGATGAATATGTTGATGACGAAGAATATAATAGTCATCATGATTCATCCATAGAGAGTAGTGATTCAGATACAGAAACAGAAAAGGAAATTTTGCAATGTAGCAATGAGTTTTATGTTGGAAAAAAATGGAGTAAAATGGAACAAAAATAAATTCCGGACTAATGTTAGAATTGGAGCCAAAAATATTATAACTAAACTCCCTAGAAATACGAAGTATTCTAAAGACGTCTCAACACCTTTAGATTCCTGGTCACTGCTTATCGATGAAGATATGTTAAAACATGTAGTCGACAATACAAATATTTATATTGATTGTACGTGGAAATTTCACTCATGAACGGGATGCGAAAGCAACAAATGAGTTGGAAATCAAAGCTTTAATTGGATTGCTGTATTTATGTGGAGTTTATAAATCATCCCATGTGAACGTAAGAGATTTGTGGGCAACAGGCAGAACGGGAATGGACATAGTTCGGGAATAAATGTCAATGAACCGATTCCTCTTTCTTTTACGATGCCTCCGTTTTGATGACATTAGAGATCGTCCCAGTAGAAGAGACGTTGATAAATTAGCTTCGATCAGAGAATTTTTTGGAAATTTTGTCACAAATTGCCAAAAGGCTTATACTTTAGGAGAGTATGTGATCATTGATGAGAAGTTGGAATCATTCAGAGGTCGTTGTTCCTTCAAACAAAATATGCCCAACAAGCCAGCAAAGTATGGCATAAAAATATTTGCTCTTGTAGACGCAAGGGTATTTTATACCTGGAGTATGGAAATTTATGCTGGTAAACAACCAGATGGGCCATTTCAAGTTGAAATTTGGTGTGCAAGCGAAGTTGTCAAACGTTTAATAAGGCCCTTATACAACTCTGGTCGAAATTTAACAGTTGATAATTGGTATATGGGATTTGAATTATCTCAAGATCTCCTAAAGAAGAAAATTACGATAGTAGGTACAATGCGTAAAAATGAGAGAGAAATCCCACCTGAGTTTCTGGCAGAGAAAAGAGAAGTATATTCTTCAATTTTCGGTTTTCAGAAAGAAGCAACACTTGTATCTTATGTGCCGAAAAAAAATAAGAGTGTGATCCTGTTATCCACAATGCATTCCGGCGATCAAATCGATGAATCTACTGGGGAATCTAAAAAGCCTGAAATCATTACATTATATAACATGACAAAAGGAGCAGTCGATGTTGTAGATGAGATGGCAGCTGCGTATTCTACAGCAAGAGTAGCACGTCGATGGCCTATGGTGATTTTCTTTTCAGTGTTAAACGTGGCTGCCATTAATGCAAGAATAATTCTACTATCAAAGAAGGAACTACCAACGGAATACCATACCAGGCGTACTTTTCTCAAAGCCTTAGGGATGCAGTTAATAGAAAATGTTCAAAATGAACGACGACGAGCATCTGTAGTTCCTGATTCTAGACAAACACTGACCACCGATGAACATGTTAACAATGAACCACCCCCCAAAAAACCTAAAATTACAAGAGGTGTACAGAGTGCCCCAAGAAAAAAGATAGAAAGACTAGATACATTTGTGAAAATTGTAGCAAAAGTACGAGTATATGTATGGAACATATGACCTCATTTTGTAAACAATGTTCAAAATATTGTAAGTAAATAATTTTACCTCTCCTTATTCTTTCATATTTTGTCTAAAATGAAGTATTAACTTGGTTTTACATTTTAATTTCTTTTAAAAAATCGATTAATTTTATTCGGCAAATTTTTAATTACAAACGTTTTATTCGGGTATGACATACCCGGCGCGTGTTCTAGTGTTCGTCGGATCGGTGCGTGTGCTCGCAGGTTAAATGAAACTTTGTTTTTCCTCTGGAAAAAAATCCAAATAGCTTTATGTAAGAATCATTAAAGAGATCTTCATCAATAACAATGTGTTAATTAATGAAAACTATATACTTGTGTCTATATCAATAATAATAAGGCCCTTATACAACTTTACAAACTCTTTCCTTTGAAATCTGTGTATAAGCCTTAGTAATCTCAAGGTGTGAGATTTATAATGTTGTAATATTCTGAAAAGTCGCTTGACTTTAATATGTATGCAAGTTTCATGAAAAATTAAAAGCTGTATAATTTGCATCCATACATAAAAGCAAGAGCTATGTATACATAAATTCTACAGTTTTACTGTGTGGAGCAAATCAACAAAAGCATTATCAAAGCATCACTATCAACAGTTTCATCACAAAACAACTACATTGCAGAGCATGTTTCCAAAGTATATCAATTTTTTAAAGTACTGATTCTACTGAAAATGTATTGTTTACAAGATAAATAAATAGCTCTTGCATGCTTCGCCACTTTATAAAATTTTTAAAGATTTTATTTTTATTTCTGTTATTGGTTGTCATATATCTGCATACTTTTGCAGCCCAATGATTTATTTACTGTATGAAATTTATTAATCAATTCTCTTGGAATAATTTAAGTTTTCACTATTCATAAATTGTTATTGTAATCACTAGCGATTCAAAAATGCTCGATAACAAAATACAGTAGCATTTTCAAAAACACTAAGATTTACACTTATATGAATTTAAGAATTTTAAAGCACTTATTATATTTTTGTGGCATTTTTAATCATTTATTTAAAGAAATACCAGCATGCTCTGATTTGTCAGCAGATACTGAATTATGATTTTCCTTTGTAATAATCAAGTGCGATTGTTATTCCTATTATGTTCTCTATCTGTATATGATGTTACTATCTATATTTGACTGAATCTGTAACTGCATATTTCATGCTGAAACTTTTAGTTCTTTTGCACATATTGTTGTGATACGTCCTAATAAACACATTATATGTCGATGTTTTGTAAAATGATGTTGCTAACTGTACTGTATGTGTACCATCAACTGGAGAACTTTACACTAATAATTTAGTAGTGAAATACTGCGACAGAATATGAGATCAAAAAACTGATTAATAAATTACTTGTGTAACTAGCAAGGATGAAGTAGTGACAAGATTAAGAGCATTTTAAATTTATATACTGTTTTTAATTCATCATATTTTAATTTATAAACTATTTAGAGATTATTTTATATACAATATATTTACATGATGAGATATCAATATATATGATCAAAAGAATCATGAATTATAAGAGTTTCATTATTTCCAATGGCATCTATAGCAGCTTTCTTGTATGAAGTTGTTGCAATATTTTCAGTACTGCATGGACTTTTTCTTTTCTTTCTCGTAAAAAGAAAATTCTTTTGTTTCTCTGCTTTTTTATTTGTAGGTTCATAGTTCACCATTTTCAATTTCGGCTTTTCGTTCTTTAATTTTGTAATCACTTTATTCAGTGTGTTTTCAATATCTCCCAAAGTTATATTATTTACTGTTGTTGATGTTACAAGTTTTGATATGATACTCAGTTGATTTATAATATGGTGCTTGGTTCCTGATTTTTTTAATTTTTTGTGCTGATAGATCAAGAAAGAGTTTTACATCATTTGATTCTTTAGTTTTAGCTGACTGTTCTCTATTAAGTAATCTTGTCTTTAAAATTATTGCATGTATATGTTTACAGACACTTCCTTTAATCGTGGCATCTGTGCATGTGCATACAAATGCATCGTTACAAATTTTGCACCATTTACAAACAATGTTACAATTAATGCATTGTGTATGTATTTGAGTAACAGTATATTCAAGAGTAGGGTCACTTTCTGAAATCACATGCCAAGAAAACTCATTGATTTCTGTGATATTATTAGCTGGAAAATTTATTGCTCTGTTGTGTCGTAAATTTGTTTGGTTGATCTTTGATGTGTTTGGCCCTTTTGTTGTTTTGATAAATCTCTGGAACCATTTATCTTGCACCATATTAATAAGCTTCGCAATGCACCTATCAACCCTCTTGTTTTTCAATCCATCAAGATAAGAATAATTTTAAAACTCGATGCAGTGCTTCAAGATGATTGTTAGTTGTGATGTTACATCTTTTTCTATAACATTTAGCCCACAACTCGCATCTGTTTGCATAATTTGAAGCAAAATAATTAGCAAACTTGTCTGTATCTCTATCAGCAAAGAGTTTGCTGAGGAAATCAGATATCAGTGCTTCAAATTCTTTTATATCATGACATTCAGATACTACATTTAAAAATTTCAAAACTTCCTTTCGCTTTGAGGGGATAATTGAATTTGCTGCTTGCAGCCATGCCTTTTTAACGTGCCAGGTGCATAGAATCCTAAATTTGGCATCACACATTACTGATGTCCATGCAGTATAATATACTGGTGCATCATCACTCATAAAGCAGTTTACAGACAGCAGTCCAACTTTGTCCCTAATACACTGAAAAAATTTTTGCATTGAACCTAAATTTACTCTATTGCTTAGGCAAAAAGCAGCAGGAAATCCTGAATTAAACTCGTCTATGACTAAAACTGTCGATAATTGAAAATCGTAAGCATTAGTCCCATGTGTGCTATCGATGCATATGCTATCGGATCCAAACTTTAAAAGCATATGCTTTTGAACATTTGTCATTATGATGATGCAGAAGTCACTAATTTCCAAGTGCTGATCTGCTGCTTCTCCTTGGAATTTTACAAAAAGAACTGAATTATCATCTAAACATTTCATTTTTTTCTATCCAGATCCTTAAACTGACAGCATCAGTTGGATGATATTGTTCATCATTACCAATACAGTAAGAATTAGAAATGTTATGTATGTCTTTTTTTGTCAATAAATGCTCCCTGTAAATGTCTTCTTTAATACTATTCCTTGTGGAATCTAATATTTTCTGTGGTGGAATGCCTTCTTTTAACTTACCTGAAAATATTGCATTTATATGATAATGTTGTATAATAATGTCTGTTTTATATTGAATTTCACAATCAAGTTCATAAAGAAACTTACCTGCAATCACTTCTCGCAAATCTTTTGTTAACGGCAAATGTTCTAGATCTACTGTGTGTCCCACGTGTGTTTGGAAATATAAAATCTTAATAATGCCATTACTGGTAACTTCAATAGTAGATGGACAGTGCCCCTCTATTTTGCAGGTACCTTGTGATTTTATAGCTCTTACACCTTTACTTTTAGAATTATAAAATCCAGATCAATTACAAAGGAAAGTAACTCTTTTTCCCACCTTCTTTAAGAGTTATTGTACTTCTCAAAAAGTAAGAAATTTTTTCCCTTCGTTCTTCCTCAATTTTCCATTGTAAGAAATCTAAATTTGAAGGGTAAACATTAGCCTACATACAATATAAAAGCCCATTATAATTGTGAACTAGTTAATCTTTTAAAACAAAATTACTAATTTAAAACTAACCAAAATCTTATTTTGGCACTGATTGTAAATAGATACTGGTCACTTTAGCAGAATTTTTTTCTCTTCAAGAAGAGGGACCTGTGTCTAATTGCTCTCAAAACTGATAGTTTTATTTAAAATCTACACTGAAATAAAGTTGCCTAATTTTAAGTCAGGGGCGTAGCTAGAGGAGGGCATCTGTCCCCGGGCGCAGATTCGAAGGGGCACCAAACTGATGTTACGACATTTTAGAATTAAATGTTTTCCATCCATGGCAAGCAGTAGAGGGTGCGAAACCTTCAGTTGTCCCTGGGCGCTGAAAACCCTAGCTACGACTCTATTTTAAGTTGTACATTGGCATATTTTTCTTCCTATTTGACAGTTACTAGTACTCATGTTCCAGCTAAACTAGACTTAAAACATATTCCCCAAAGTTGTATAATAATGCAAGAAATTTATTCTTAAGAGACAAATTGTCATCAGACATTTTCCATAGCATGAGTGTCATCTGGCCTATGTCTAAAGTAAAAAAACATTGTAGCCTGTTTCTTGATAACTGATACAATGTGTATAGGTTATTAAAATTTTAAGACATTGAATAAATTTCTTTAAGTAGTTTTAAAATAACATATAATAAATTTTAAGCCTCATTTACATATAATAAAATAAGTGTCTATCATTATGATACTAAACTTACGATTGAAGGTTGCCACTTTAATAAAGATTTTAACAATTTTTTTATTAGGTCCACATTATTTTTGATATCTTCATCATACATATGCATTAAGAGATCCGTTTGTGTAATAACAGGATAGTCTTTTTTTAATGAAGCACTGAATTACATGTATAAATAATTATGTAGCAGTACATCTCTATATATGTTTTTATTATTTAGAAAATGTTTACTTCATATTTCAAATAGTTGAGGAAGAGAAATATTACTTAATCTTAATATTATTAATAATAATTATTATTTGAAATATTTTTACTGAAGAATAATGGGGGTTTATCAGGCTAACAGAAAAAAAGCAAGATGCTAAGGAAATTATTCTGTTATCAATTATACTCACAAAAATAGATGTATTTTATTCCCCAACTTGATGAATGAATTTGCAAAAAATAGTAATTTGTACTCAGTTTGGGGTAATTCAAATTAAAAACGTTTTATCGCAGAAGAAAATGCAAATTTCTAATATCTTACCTTCATATGTATTAAATGTCATTTCAACGGAGAGTTAAGAGTGTATCCATGTTGATCTCTTGCCGTGATTTCTTAACTCTTCAAACGTTCTACATGAAAAATTGCAGGCATTAATAGGACATTTCAAATTTCCTTCAGCCACAACAGGTACTTTATGTACTTCCCGAATGTGTTCATATAAAACCTTTTTCTTTTTGTACTTTTTGCAGCAGTACATACATTCAAATACTGCTATCTTTTCATATTCCATTGTTATAACAAAAAGTTATGTACTACAATAGAAAATAAAAAACTTATTTTGTCATCAGAAATATTAAAAAAATGAATAAAAACTGTAGCATATATTAAAATATTTAATGTTTGACACAAAAAAAATGGTAGCATATGATATTAAAATATTTAATGTTTGACACAAAAAAATGGTAGCATATGATATTAAAATATTTAATGTTTGACACAAAAAATGGTATAAAATATTTAATGTTTGACTGAAACTAACACGGTTTGCTATTCTGAAACATTTTTCATTTTCCTTTGTTCAACAAAGGAAATTTCAGCTAAATTTATCTGTTCTCAAAAGGCAATATATGAAAAATAAATAGATTACAAAAAGTTTGTCTCAAAAATAAATACTTTACAATAATTTGTAATCACGTGTTTAATTACAAGCAAACAATATCTAAATTACCAATTAAAATATTTTATCAAAAAATTCTTTTAGCTCGCCAAAAAATATCACTGCAGAGCTCAGAAAACAAGCAACCGAAAATGGCAGGTAATCCTGTGGGGTAAATCTAAAACACCCCGCTTTTGACGTCACATGTGACGTGTACCGTTGACCAATCAAATTTTCCTGCCGAGTTGAAATTTAGTCGCTCCCGTTGTTTAGTGTGTTGAATTCCACGACGATAGTAATTTGAATATTTTAGTTAGTTTATGATGCTGAATACGCATAATTTGCTATTCTGTTTACGTTTAAAACTGACTTCGCAGTGTTCTGATCTGATAAGTGTATACATTTTACTCAATAATTATTTACAAGAATTGTTCATTCTACTATTTTATGATGAATTACATATATATAGGACTATGCTTTTACTTGCAAAGCTGTTGGACTTTGTTTTACTCATCTAGTATTTTATCTTCTCATTTTACTATTCTGTTTACATAAAATAACGGCATTTCACTACTTCAAAACTTAAAAGTTACTTCTGTTTACGTTTAAAATCACATTTTAGTGCTTCATTAGTGCGCCTAAAAATTCGCCAAATTTTGAAGGCCAAAATAGTTTGGCGCCAACTTACCCCGCTTATGGAATTTTAGCCGTTCTATGTACACCTGAAAAGAAAGTGCATAAAAACATTTCAATATGGATGAAGTCAGTTCATTCTTTCCAAGCAATAACCAATTCGTAAGCATTTTTTATGTTGCCAAACCAGGAAACAAAAACTTTAGACACTTTAGGTTAATACGTTACATGATTTAAATTTAATGTAATATAACAATTTTTTCTCAATATCAATAAAAGAATTAACGTGCTAATACCGTGCCGAAAAGTTGCCAACAGCAACTATTTATTTAACGAAAAATTTTCGACATATAATGACGTCACGTGCAATCGCCTGCTTTCTTCAACGTCTGAATATGACCTTATACAATAATAATATGTTTAATGTTTGGCAATGTTATTTCCATTTCACATTTTGTAAAACTTAAAATTTTTTTATTAATAAACTGTATGATTTAAAAGCCAGCAGTGGCAACACTTTTCGGAATAAAAAGCAGATTTTTTATCTCCAGCATACGAGACTGTTGCCACTCGGTAAAATGAGTGCGAAAATTAGCTTCTTTCCGAGTTTTTAATTAATATCTCGGCTGCTTAAAGTCGTACGAAGATGAGAATGGTTGAAATGGCTTCCCACGAATTTTTCGAATCCGAGGGTACTTCTTTGAAAACTCAACTCCCTGCCGTTCCGGAGGAGATAATGCCACAAACAAGCAATTAATATAGATTCCTGTTTTTAAGAAAATACTGTCCTTAGAAACTAAGACTTTCTTGACAAAGAATTCCTAAGACTCAGAATTTCTTGAAAGAAATTTTGACATTTCTTTAATGTGCTAATCTGGAACTGTGTTTTTAACAGATTATAAGAGCACATGGAATATAAAATGGTTAACACACTCTACCACGTTCCTTTATTTGACGACAGCTCCCTATATCGGAGTTTATTCTCACTGACAAGTGTTTATTCTATTTTTTTTTTAGACGCAAGATTCAAGTTTATATTTTCGTATACATTGTTGCTGATAAACTGATTGTGGCGATTAGTTTGCTGACGGAAATGGATATCTGGCCGTGACTGTTTGAGTGACGCTGAAATTCTACGAATTTAGAATTATTATTGTTCAGAAATTCGTTCAAAATGGTAGGAAATCAATAGATGATGTGGTTATATCTGTATTGGCAATTTATTTTCTCAAATTATCAACAGATGATAATCTGCAATGTGATTTCAACCCTATGAATTCATGTGACAAATGGTCAATATGTGACCACAGTGGAGCTCATAGTAAAACATATAGTCAGAAGCTAATGGTAAAACATATAGTCAGGAGCTCATAGTAAAACATATAGTCACAGATACTCATTACCTGAAGTTCTGCTTATAGAAACGAAACTAGTATTTAAGATAGAAAACTTTTAGGAAAATGCGCTCACAATTGTACTCAAAATTTAACGAATTTGTATAACTGCGTATGGGAATTTTTATTAAAATAAATCTCATGTGGATACCACTTGACTTCGCCACTTGATTACGCCCTAAGAGACTTGTGGCCTATTGAATTATACACATTTTTCGCTGCACTGCATTTAAACTTATTTTCTCGAATTACCCACAAGGCAAGTAAAAAATGACATAAAAATTGCAAATTTTGA